ACCTAAACTAAACTAACTTTATTTATACTGGATTGCTCTATCAGTTCTAAACTGTTCTTCCTAGAGGTCCAGTAAGAATCATCTCTTATTGATCCAGTGTTACTACAGGAGGAAATCTAAACTAAACTAACTTTATTTATACTGGATAGCTCTGTCAGTTTTAAACTAAACATTAATTCGTAAATAATTTACCTGATCAATTGGCAATGATTCTTTTGGAGTTGCGTCTGCCAGTGGAATATTGACAGGAGTTGATAATTTTGGAGCCCGCTTTCGTTGCTTGTATTTGATCAATAAGACAACAAGCACGATGCAAAGAAATACCACGCCACCCACTGTTGTTGCTATGATAATGATTGTGCTGCCTGTTTTTTCCTTGACTGTTTTTTCCTTGACTGTTTTTTCCTTGACTGAATAAATATAAGAAAACGTTAGAGTGATTTCTAGTAACCAACTCAAAATCTTAAGACAACTAAATTAACGTGACACTGCCAACAGATAAAGAAGAACTTCCTACAATACATCTCAATGTAATTTAAGCAAAACCTCACTTGCCTTCAGAGCAGCATGATGGTGAAATGGCAGGTGTAGTAGAATTTTCGGGGCTTCGGTGGCGAAGTGGTTAGGGACCGCTCATTATTTATTGTACAGGGGGGGATTGAGGAGAAACTGGGAGGGCCTTTAAATTTTTCAAAACCTGAAAGGGGGGGCTTTGAAAAAATACAGAAATACGAAAGAAGGGGGGCTTTCAAAATATTTACCAGTTTGAAAAAACATTATAGTAGTTTTAACAATGTATCACAAAACAACTTAACAACAAATAACAATATTTATAGACTTTAATATTCATAAATGGAAGTCAAATAAAAAGTCTCTCGTGTTCATGTAAATAGACAATTCCCATTATAGACTAATTTTAGAACTAGGCAAGGAGATGCAAATCAAGGCCGGATTTTGGTGAAAATAGTGGGGGAGGTGGACAAAAATTTTAGGAGAGGTGCAGCGGTCTAGCTCACAACTCCCATGGAAAGTTAGGGCTTATTGTAGAACAGGCCAATATCAACGAGGTGAGGTATGCATGTAGCGTACATAATATGTACCAGTGTATTAATGAATTATGAATGTATGACTCCAATCTTGCCCTTCATTACAATTGCTACACTGTTTCTTTCAAAACATTGCATATCACTGTTTCAATTTTACAGAGAAAACTTTCTTACGTCACAAAGTGTAGATCCTAAGCAACCATCACATTTTCACTTTGTTCCATCATTGAAACTTTCCCAAGGGGAAGTGCATGACCTTTCAAGAGAGGTGGAAAAATTCTCAGGGGAGGTGCAAAATGATCTCTGGGGAGGTGCGCACCTCTCCACACTTCCCTCAAAATCCGGCCTTGATGCAAATAAATCACCACAGCTAGAAAGAGCATACTAAAATAAGGTTGCGAATTGTTGCAAAATACGGAAAATATAGCCTTGCAAAGTTTGCAAATTTTGTACACTTTTGTATTGCATGCGAAAATTGCAATTATACAAAGGAATACAAAATTTGCAAACTTTGGAAGGCTATATTTTCTACATATTTTACAACATTTTGCAACCAAACTTTGGAATTTTACTAATTTTAGTATGCCCTTCCCGGGAATATACTTTTTTTGCAAAGATAAAAAATTAGTCTATAATGGGAATGTCTATTGGTCCCCATTACCTATTTTTCTTTCTCTAAAATAAACAGCTAGAGTTTTTGTTTCTCTAAATAAAGATAAAGAGCTAGAGGGGGAGGGGGCAAATTTATGTTCTTGTTTTGCCTGTTCGGGGGGGGGGGCATTGAAAATTTTACTTGTCTTAAGAGGGGGGTAACGAAAAAATATTATAACTGTAGAGTTTCTCCTCAGTCCCCCCCTGTACAATAAATAATGAGCGGTCCCTAACAGCAACTAATGACAACACAGTTTGACAGAAAGACTGGACAAGGGACGACACAAATGACACTTTACACACACTGTTTTAAACGTTTGTAATAATCTAATAATCAAAGGCCGTTGAGGCCAACTTGCGGATAAGTCAAATGAAAGTGACAGAAAGAATTAGAGCAGTTTGCAATTGTTTTTCCAAACCGGGCACCGTGCGAATTTTGCCATTTCACCCATTTGTCGCGCTTCTTTTGCCAAATCAAAAGAACGAACGCGTGCTCCAGCCTGATTTCCGGTTCTGAAAGACCCGATTCGCAGGCAAACAGTGCGCGCAAAGCAGGCTGGTCATTTCCCATTGTTTAACTGCCCTACACATAGATAGGTCATAGGTCCCAACAGAGACGGATTTTCATATTTTCGTTCGGGGGGTGTGGATAAATATCTGGGGAGGGGGTGCTGCTGCTTGCTTTGGCCAAGGCATGGTGGCGGAAAGGCCAAGGAAAAAGTTGAACAAAATTTGTTTTCTAAGCCGGCATGGCGAGATCTGAGACCATAATATTGGTAATTTTGTATTGTATTGGTAATCAAATATGAAACTATCAAAATAATTTGCGGGGCTGCAAAAACGTTTGGGGGAGGTGCCAAATGCCTCTGGGGAGGAGGTGCAAATAATTTCTGGGGAGGTGCGCACCCCCCAGAAAATCCGTGCCTGGGTCCCACACTTACCCCACTATTCCCCACACTCAAGTAACCACAAAGACTCAAAAATGCAATCTCGTTCCCAGAGTATGCCTGTTCGCGGGTTAAGTAGTGGCATGATATGTTGAAATCTATTAACCTGCAAATCAAGTGCTGCCTGCCAATTAGCCTGCGTGTCTACCTCGACAACATGTCAAAGTGTACGTCATCACTGCTGAGACACGTTCAACTTGGTCGTGTGCTGTGTTCTTTTGATTATATACACTCATCAGGATTTCGTAGAATAACCACAGTGCCTTTTATTATCATGAGTAATTTCTCTCACTTTGCAACGAAAGCTATTCACATTGGTAACGAACCTGATCAATGGAAATGCCATGCTGTTGTACCACCGATTTTTCTATCTACAACATTTGAAGAACAAGAACCGGCAGTCACTTACGTAAGATTTTTATCGACGATTTTTACATATCTACCTTTATAGTATATGTTAGTATGTAAACCTGATTTTATCTAGCGATGTTATGAATGGGGTAGTGCCTTGGGTAGTGCCCAGGTACAGGTTAGAGTTTATCACCCCCCTCATCAGGGCGAGGGGTTAGATGTGTTTAATAGATGCCTCCCGTTAGGGGGATTAGAGGGTAGGGTGATATACATCATGCATAAAAGTGCATCTGTGTGATGATATACATCATAGATTTTAGCAAGAGTATGTATTGACAGAAACGATAAGTGTGTGTGAATCCGATCAGATTCGGACCAAATTTTACTTGCTCGGATTGGATTTTGTAAAACATTTGCAATACATTTTCAATACGCATTTCTGCCTTGTCAATCTGCCATTATTTTGGTTTTTAGCATGGTGATAAATAATTGATTTAGATCAGATTCATAATTGATTTTTAGATCAGATCACAGTTACAATATTTCGGATCGGGTCTGATTGCGATTTTTAGCATCGGATCGGATTTACAGCCAAACTGGATGTTCTCTTGCGAGCAACATTGCAATATTGTCCCACAATATTGCAATCTTGATACACAGATTGCTCTGCATGAGCAATTTGCAAACATAACATCACGAACAAATTGGAAAATATTATCAAAAAGGAAGCCAGGCATCACTGATTAGGAGCATGGCAACAGCATTGTAATTATGGTTGGGCGAAAATCATAGGCGAAGCCAAGAAGTTCTGTGGTCCTGGTTAGATCTAACAAATGTATAAAATTCACACTCGAAATTTCCATCTACAAAACCCTTCTGCAATCAGGGGCGTAAATATGTCCCCCCCCCCCAGAGAAATGATCCAGTCGGTCTCAAACTAAGTGCAGTCAGTCTCAAAATTATGCGTTTGTTTACACGCAGTGCTTTGTAAAGCAAGCTAAATATTTTCGAAACTCGGAGACCGATCAGACTCAAACTTTTGAGTTGAAAATTTGCTCAAACGGAATCAAGCAGCTCTGAAATAATATGAAGAAATATCAGTCAAAACCCGCGCCAAGGGATGAAGTTTCCATTTACTTATATCTATATGTCACGATTACGTGTTTGCACTTTTATTACTCGCTGGGGCACCAGTGCCCCAGACGGGTATAGGTTTCAGCATTATTTAGTGGATATCCAATCGTCGTCGATAGCCACAAAATATAATATTAATTAGGGGTGCACCGGAACTCGGTTCCGGCCGGAACCCCGATTTTTTAGAGTTCCGGTTCCGGCCGGAACTAGTAAAAAAAGCATGGCCGGAACCGGAACTCTGTTGTTTTCAGAGAGATAGAATATCAAACGTTTTTGTGTCTAACAAA